TATATTTAATAAGCTTTATAATTAATTTTATTATTAAAGTAGTATATAAATAGTAACTTTTTTAGCTAAACTTATTATTTACTATTTAATAGCTTTAATATTATCTACTTTATAATATTAACATAATTTTAATTAAATATAGCGCTAATAAAGAGAATAAATAATAAAAAAGCTATATTGTATAAGTTATATTTTATATTACTAAATAAGTTTAATAATAAAATCTTTAATATTAATATGTTTAAAATACTTTACTATTAAAAGATAAAATATAGTTTTATAAATATTGTATAGTAAAAAGAAGTTTATTAATAATATTAATAATTAAGTTATATTTAAATCTTATAATAATATGTATTAATATACTTATAATACTAGCTAGATAGATAATAATAATATTATAAGCTTTAAATTAGTATATATAGTAATAATTCTAGTTCTTTATAGCGCCCTAATATGTATATTTAAGAGGAGTTAACTCTATAAAGATAAAATAATAATAATATATAGATTCTAGTTAAAAAAGGCTTTTCTAAAGCTATTAATAATTAATTTATATAATAATTTGCGTTAATTAATACGTTTTTAGCGTTAGTACGTATAAATAGGTAAAAGTGGTATAGAGGGGTAATAAATCGCACACTAATAGGGGTTTCGGGTAAGGCAAACGCAAATGAGTGCAGCTCCCACGATCCCTGCACATGTTCAGCTGCGATAAGATAAGATAAGCTTCCTTATCAAATGGTCGGCGATAAGAATATCTATCATCCACACTGAATTTCGGGGCCTGTCACCCCTCCGAGAGCCAATTCAGGCCATTACGTTGAGTCCATGCCTAAATAACATTGTGGCACGATGGCTTCTAATCCGATTGTCAGATGGGGCATGGCGATTTCGGGCGGTGTCGCTGGCGTGGCTCTGGCCGTTGTCCGTCTCCAGCAGCCAATCTTTAGCAACAACCCTGAGACGACTTATTGCTACCAAGGCGTTCGAACACAGGATGAAGCCCAGCCAGCCGCCCAATGCTTCACGGTGTTGGACGGAAAGTTCACTCGCGTCTTTTCCTGGGAAGATGCCAGCTTAACCACGAATGTCGGCTACGTTATCCCCGGCTTGTGGGACGGTCACGGCCATCTGATTCAATACGGAGAGTTCCTTCACTCGGCCGACTTGTTTGGTGCTAGCACCTTGGACGACGTAAGGGGTCGTCTGCGAGACTACGTGGAGAGCCATGCCGATGCTGGTACGAAGGACGAATGGATCCGAGGGATTGGGTGGGACCAGAATGCGTACGGCAAGATGCCTACCGCCGTGAGTTGTCTGTCGTTGTGGGCTGAGTGATTAAACTGATGCGCGATAAGGCGGATATCGAAGAAGACGAACTTCTGAAGGGCAAGTACTTCATGCTCGACAGAATTGACGTCCACTGCGCTTGGGTTTCGCAAGCCGTGTTAGACCTCTTGCCAGCAGATATCCCCGACGTCCCAGGGGGCGAGATTGTCAGGGAGCCTGGCATGGGCGTCTTCTGTGACAATGCCATGGACTTGGTCACAAATCTGTGGCCGAAGCCTGGCCCTGAGAAGAAACGAGCTTTTGTATCTGCCGCAATGGCGAAGCTGAACGAGGTTGGCTTGGTCGGCATGCACGATGCTGGCGTCTTCCCCGATCAACTTGACTTGTATGCAGACATGGCGCAGACAGAGGACTGGACTGTTCGAGTCTACGCCATGTTGGAGTGTGCTCAGCGAAACACATTCTGTCTCGATGATGCAGCTCGTGTGCTCCGCGAGGATGATTGGTTCAGCGTCAAGTCTGTGAAGCTCTTTGCTGGTAATTCGTCCCCTAAATCGCTGGTTAATGACATGTGCTGACTTTTGTTAGACGGTGCTCTTGGAAGTTGGGGAAGCGCAATGATCGAGCCCTACAGTGATCGCCCCGACACGTCCGGCTCACTCCTTGTCAACGGGTCTACACTGTTGCAACTCGGCAAATCATGGGCATCTGTCGGCTACCAAGTCAATATCCACGCCATCGGTGACCTTGCAAACCGTTTCGCCGTCGATGCCTTGGAAGCTGGTCTCAAGGAAGCGTGCCCTGGTGAAGATATTCCAAAATGCCAGTCTCAGCGGCGGTTCCGTATCGAGCATTCCCAGATCATCCATGAAGAAGATCAAAAGAGAATTCACGCCATTGGTATCATCCCCTCCATCCAACCGACACACGCGACTTCCGACATGAAGTACGCCGAGCTCCGCCTCGGCCCCGACCGCACCAAGAAGGAAGCCTACCGCATGCGCTCCCTCCTCAACGTCAGCCCGATCCTAGGCAGCGACTTCCCCGTGGAGCCACCCAACCCGTTCCAGGGCATATACGCTGCCGTCACGCGGAAGAGTCCTCATACAGGCCACGGCGCGAATGGAAGCTCTGAGGGGTGGCATACCGAAGAGGCGTTGAGCCTGGAGGAGGCGCTGCTTGGGTTTACCAAGGGACCCGCTTTCGGCGCTTTCATGGACGGACGTGCAGGCGTTATCAAGGAGGGCGCGCTTGCTGACTGGGTCGTTTTGGATCAGCCGCTCGAGTCCATGGATATTGACGACTTGCGGGACCTCAAGGTGAAGGAGACTTGGGTTGGTGGAAAGCAGGTATATGAGCGTGTTGATGTTTGAGCTATCCTGACGGATGGTCTACGATATTACGATTTCCGTGGAACTTGATTTCTGGAGTGTGTAAAAGGCAAGAAGGGACCTACCTAAATGAACTCAAGCGACTTCATCCCACCTTCTCGCGTAGAGAAGGTGTATGTCCCTCCTCCTGCCAGAACTATATCAACTACGTTTTGTGTCCCCAAAACACATTGAGAAACGGACCAGACATGTCTCTTTCCCAGTTTACGGCCACGACGTCCATCTCGCTCTGTTTTCTTTCGAAATCGTCACTGATACTATAGCATGCTAAGCCCGCCTGAGATAGCATCACCGACTATAGTTTCGCGCAAGTCAGTCGCTAAGATGCCTGACGACAGAACCCAAGGGTACGGCGCGCATCTTGTCGCAATAATAATCGCGGTCTTCTACTTCAAATTTGGCCAGACGCTCATCGACAAACCAATTGAAATTCTCTTTCGGGAGATCACATGCAATAGCCACTACAACAATCCATCCACGAACCTGATCCGCGCCTTCCCTTACGACGACCCCTTGTGCCGGATCGAAGAGATTGAAAACATCATCGAAAGAGGCAACGCGATTAGTTCGGTCTTTGAGGCTATTGGTGGTATGTGATTTCCGTTTGTCCAAGGTCTGCGGTGTCATTTGCCAAAATTTATTCCTAACGCAAGAGGACAGGCCTTCTCGCCGCGTACGTCGTTTTACGAGCCAACTTCCGCGAAAGACTCGTTATTTTCGGCTCGATCACATGGATCGTCGGCAAGCTTTTGATTTACCACACAACGCATGATAGGTGGCATATGTTGCTCTACTGGGTTATGTCTAGCTTGGTCGGCGGAGGGCAAGTCGTTGTTGAGGGAGCCATATTGGGCATGTTGACTGATCTATCGGACGACCAAAATCGGTAAGTGCGAGGCTTGCCGGCTCCTTGTCGTCCTCGAAGACGATATTTCAACCTTCAGATCTGACGAGTTGCTAATCATCTCCCTCTACAGAGCTAGGAACTTTCCCTACACGTCCAGCGTGGCTTTGCTCTCGTACGTCACAGCAAACCTCGCCTTCAAACTCCTCGTTGGGTACAGCGTCGATGCGTCTTACATTGCAGCCATGACCGGCATTGCCCTCGGCGTCACGATGATCGCTCTCTGCAGGTTCCGTTTTTTCAAGACATACTGCAAACAGGCCGAAGACTACCGCTCGGAGGAAGAGGTCAACCCGGACCGCCGCCCGCCGCGGGTGCAAGTCTTTTCCAGCTTAGCTCGTTTCCCAAGCTGCTGTCTGCTCCTCATCGTTGCCATTTTACCGCCCATGGCATCATTGTCGATGCCATCACTCGCATCCTGGATGTCCAGAGTGTTCCCTGTCTACGAAACCTTTCTCGAACTTCCCATCCCACTATACGCATTTCCCACCACCGCCCTCGTGGTGACCAGCACCATGATCCCAATGCTGGAGAGCAACCGCGCCCACCGGCACAGCGCAAATCCCCAGCGTCGAGCCTTTTTACTCTTCGCGCCCTCGTTTGTGTCCATCTCGATAGGCACTCTGCTCTTAGTATCGAGCACAGACGGCAACTACAAGCTCCTCATCGGGGGGCTCGTCTTCATGGGCCTCGGCGGAGGTGCGGTACCTCTGACCCTTGCTATGCTCGTGTCTCTTCTCGGCCGGCGACTCCGATGCCGCTCGTTAGGAAGAGCCCTTGGTGTGGTGTATACGCTGCAGTGCGTCGTGAGGTTGGTGCTGGGGCCTATACTTTATGCGCTGGGGAAGCCGGGTCGCCCAGCGATGGCTCAGTTGTTCCCTCAGTTCATTATTCTACTTGCGGTCTATGCTGCGTTCTACTCAGCGATTAGGTGGTGGCTCAAGAATTCGGCATCCACTGCACAGAGCAGCGAGCGGGATATCCAGCTAGAGGAGATGCGTCGAGACGCGACTCCACCTGTTGCGCCGAGTGCACCGCCTCCTGCATATTCCCCACTGGCGCGGGAGAACGGTCGAATTTGAAGTTGAGGGCGAGATTTAGCATTCTGTGTTGTGGTTTATTCTGGGCGCTTTGATCAAGTCATTGGACAGTGTTGGAGAACGGAGTTTTGCATAAGGATCGGTCATCACATTGTCTCGGGCGCAAAGGGACGCATAGACGTCCGTCAAACTGTAGCTTACTTGCAACCGTCTATGATTGCCATGGAAGCGCTATTCCTCAGGATTAGTATCAAATAATAGTTCAACAGCGCGTGGCCACGAAGCTGCTTCGGAGACATGCCTTCCTGGTCAATATATATCTCTGGCACTTTTCCAATTCATATTCTCTTTTCTCATTTATCGTCTACAATCTTAGAATCTGGGGATAATGGCGTCTGGCTTGTTGTCGAGCGCCTCGTCAATCTCCTTCATGATCTCGGGCGTAAGCTTCTCCTGGGCGCCAATGGCGTACATGTTCTCGAAGACCTGCTCGGGGCTGCTGGCGCCAATGATGGCGGAGCTGACGTTCTTATTCTTGAGGACCCAGGCGAGGGCGAGGGTGCTCATCTTGATGCCGAGCTTCTCGGCGATGGGCTCGATCTTGTTGGCCTTGTCGACGAGGTCCTGGAACTGCTTCTTTGCGTTCTCGCGCTTCCAGAAGTCCTTGATGAAGCCAATGTTCTCGGAGCCGAAGCGGGAGTTCTCGGGGATGCCGTTCTTGTACTTGCCCGAGAGGATGCCCTGGCGCAGCGGGGAGAAGACGGTCAGACCGGTGCCGACCTCGCGGTAGAGGTGGGCGAACTCGTGCTCAACCTTCTTGCGGTCGAGCATGCTGTACGAGGGCTGCTCCATGACGGGGCCGACGAGGTTCAGCTTGTCGGCGTAGCGCCAGGCCTGGGCGATCTCGTCGGCGCTCCATTCTGAGGTTCCCCAGTACAGGGCCTTGCCGGTGTTGATGAGGTGGTTGAAGGCACGGACGGTCTCCTCCATGGGGGTCTGACGATCAGGGCTGTGCGAGGGCGTCAGAAGAACCGAGGTGGAAGTGGAGAGCTGCGGAAGGATGCTTACCGGTGAGCGTAGACGAGGTCGACGTACTTGAGGTCGAGACGCTCAAGGCAGGCGTCCATAGCCTCGATGACGTGCTTGCGGGACAGTCCCTTGTTGTTCACGATGTTGTCGCCGAAAGCTCCGCCCCAGTAGATCTGCCCGACAAGCGCTTGTCAGCTTTTTGTGTTTCTCAACATGGTCGATTCACTCTAGGAAGATTGCGCACCTTGGTGGAGATGACGAGGTCGTTGCGCTTCCAGCCGTACTTCTTGATGGCCTGGCCCATGACTATGACTGGAGTCAGTCCCATATCGCGTCGTCCGTATGTATGAGAGAGTATCCGTACCAATCTCGCTCTCGCCGTTGGCGTAGCCCTCTGCGCTGTCGAAGAAGTTCACGCCGGAGTCGTAGGCGGCCTTCATGCAGGCGAATGTGCCCTCTATTTGCTATGAGCATTCCATTGCAAGGAGGAGGTTGGGAGTGCGGTCATACCAGCGTCGACATGGCCACCGTAGGTCAACCCTCGCAAGAAGTCAGTTTGCGCCGCAAGTGTACAGTGTTACGTTAAAACTCACAGCCTCCCAAGCTGATGGCGCTGACCTGGAGACCGGAACGGCCCAGGAAGCGGTACTCCATAGGGGGAAGATCCTCGGGCTTGGACATGGTTGCGGTTCTGGATGTTTTCTTGGGATATTATGAGGTGGAGCGAGGTCGGAGGGAAGATGCAGACTTGGAGGGGGAGAGGACAGCAGCAGGTGTCACGCAATGGGCCGAGAGACCTTACTTATAGTCTACCCCAGATTAAAAGAGGACCGGCTCGTGTTCAAAGAAGGAAGCTCCAACCAGAAGAGCTCCATCCCATGTCCAGTCCCGGTCCTGTGCCGGGTGGTGTAGGAGCCGTATCGATGCGGTCAAGCTCCCAGGATGCGGGGCAGCCGGTATCAACCCCGCCATGGGAAAGCGGCAACTCGTGTCACTGATTTGTTCAGGCTCGGTGGTGGGTGGTTGGCCGGGTACCATGAGGTACGGAGGCTTAGTCTACAAAAGTAGGGATGAATACAGCAGACTTACGCCAGTTTCATGCTGCCTTCCTTGCTCGTCCCTGTGTGCCTGGGGTGAGAGCTGTGACCGGCGGGAAGCTTAATCCCGAGCTCTAGAATTTGCGACGGGACGAGCGCATACAACCTTTGGTTGGCTTCAGAAGTTTCCGAGACAATTCCAACTTCCTCTCATCGGGAAGAAGACCGCTTCACTCGTAGACTGAAGATTTCAGCTCGCAATAGAAATCTATCACAGAGACAGCCCCAGGAGAGAGAAAAAAACTGTTGATGTCACCATCTCCAAGGGACTTTAGCGAGAGCCACGCTAAATTACCCCTCCATCTGCCCCTCCAAGCGCGACCGTTTGTGTCGAACTGCGACCCGCAACCACGCTCGCACCACTAACATCCCTGCCATCATGCGGGTCTTCGGCCAGGGGTGTGCTACCATCTCGCTGCTCCGATTCCCCCGAGTTGGCGAATGGTGCGGCTTACTAATTCACCAACGACACATCTTCCATCAAGGTGACGAGACGGCGTGGGGAGGAATCGAACTATCGCCGTGTCCCTGTTGGTTCGATTCGAACCGACCATCGGCATGAACGAGGTGCTGGTATCTATTGGATCGGCTTGCTGGTCGGCTTCCATGCCTGAGAAGCTAGTCCGACCCGAACATGCAAGACACAAGCGAGCCTTTTTCCCGAGCCGGCCTGTCGGGTTCTGCTAGCACACGCGGCTTTGATGCCTCTACATGCAGGTCTCAAATTAAACAAGTCGGCAGGGAGTCATACGGTGGGAGGTCTCCGCTGGCCTCCCTATTGAGATAGACGACGCTGCTACGCAGATAGCTTCCCCAAGTCCGTCCCATCAATTTTCGTCCTACAAACTCGAGGCGTGGAGACTAAGAGATAACAGACTCACAGTTTTCAATGAACCCTATCCGCGATCCTCGTGAACTTTCCGCATGCTCATGGCAGCTCTTCTGTGAAATGGGTGGAAGGAAGGAAACCCGCATCTGCCTTACAGTAGTAAGGTCGGCATATGCCATGAACCGGTCTTCACTCCCGGACGGTTGAAATATCCCCTTCTAGCCCCTGATGAAACTGTCGTAGTACGGCCTATGGAAGAACATATGCACAGCGGGTACTCGCTACGAGCCGTCTGTTTGCAAGATGCCTGAAAAACAAACGCAATTCTAGACTATGAGAGCTTCGTGTGAACTATTGATGCATGCTTCTGATTTGATTATTTTGTTGCGTCAATCCGAAGTTTGGTAAGCATGTCCTTCGCATCCCCTAGGAACGGGTTGGGCTGTATATGCTGAAGTAAAGGGTTTGCTCAAATTCATACATACTTGAATACTCAAGTAGAGAACCGGGAATTCTGATTAGAGCTTCGAGAGATGTAAGTCAGGATTTGGCTGACCACATCTAGGACATGCATCTTCAGCATCACAACAAAGAAACGTCTCAGACCACACCACAAAGAGTGCAGTTTATTATCAAAATGAAGGCAGGGAGCTCATTTCATATTTATCTCGTTTGCAGCTGCATTCACGCTCTGGAACTCTTCAAAAGCCAAAGTCGGTGTGGCCCTCCAGTCAGTGTCGTGCCCCGCATGGGTCTCTAATGGCCTTGTCTTGATCTCGCGGGTCTCAAGACATCGACAGCTTCAAACAGGAGCGCCAACGAGGCAGCGAGGCCAACTCCCTCGACGACTAAGCAGGCACTGGATCTCCTCAGCCTGACATAAAACTCTTGCAACACCATCGCAGGTCAACCTTACCATAACACGACCTTCGATACCACCATTTGGGATCCGTGAGATACCAACGCGCAACGAGACAATCAGCAGAGGCCAGTACGAACAAGCAATCCAGTAAGTCATTTCTTCCTCTCCTCTCTACCATGCGGCATCTTTCCCATCGAACTTCACAAATTTCAATCACCACGCACCCTCATCGTCGAAAACAAGCTTCGCGATCCTTACGGAATTCCCTCCAATTTCAGCAGCCCGAAGCTGTTGTTTGCGGATTTTTCTTCTCGTTTTTCTATCAGCCATTTTTGTGCGTTTGAAGAGAAATGTCCGCTTTGGCGGTGTTCATGACGGCGGGGTCGGCTGCGGCGATTGCCTCAGACGATGATCACACGTCCGTCTCGACTTATCTCGGTTCGGACTGTGATCATCCTGAGCTGAGAGCCGCCTATGTCGAGGTTGAAGAGAATTTTCGATCTTCTTTGGCCTTGGGATATCTGAGACAACCGCGTCAAGAGCCTCAAAGTCAAGATCAGCCAGACGAAGGTTCCAAATTTACACTGTTTTTCTCTCCTTCCCACCTTCATTCCTTCCCGCGCAAGACTGCCAGTGCAGTTGCTCCTTCCCTCACATACCCTCCTGCCTTCACAAAATTTTGTCTACTTCCTTCTGCATTTTACACTCACCTCCGCTTCTTTCCTCAGAAAAAAATCTTTCCTCCTCACCACCTTTGATTTTCTCACTCTCTTCCCTCGCATCTCCGTCTGCCGGCCAGCCTCACTGACTTGTCGAAACCAGTCTCGGCCACTTCTGTCAACCAAGTTGACAATCACTCACCCGATCAATTCTCCGACTACTCCTTCATCGACGACAGTATGTCTGGCTGGGGTACCGACGACGCCTGGGGCACCAACGACACCTCTGGAGGTGCTGGAGGTGGTGGCGACCCCTGGAACAACCCCTCTGGAGGCGATGGCGATGAGGGTGGCGGCGGCCAGCGCGGCGCCTGCTTCAACTGCGGTCAGGATGGGTAAGTCACGTCTTCTTCACAACATCACGGTCTACTGACATTATCCACAGCCACAACAAGGCCGATTGCCCCGAGCCTGCCAAGCCTTTCGATGGCGAGTGCAAGGGCTGCGGTCAGCAGGGCCACATGCGTCGTGACTGCCCTGACGCTCCCCCCATGGCTTGCAGAAGCTGCGGCGAGGAGAGCCACATTCGCAAGGACTGCCCCAACAAGCCTCCCGAAGTTTGCCGCAACTGCCACGAGGAGGGTAAGTGCCTTTCGTTCCCCAATTGCAAAATACGATCTATTTACTAATTCCTGCAGGTCACCTCGTCGTCAACTGCGAGAACCCTCGCAAGATTGACCTCAGTAAGATCGAGGATGTCGACGCTGATGTGGCCTGGAACCAGATCATCGAAGCAGCTGACGAGCGCGATGGTGTTGAGGCCAAGGAGGCCATTCAGAAGTACCTCAAGCATTTCCCTGAGATGACTTATGTCATCCTTGAGGAGGCTTTCCGTGGCCAGGAGATGGGCATCTACCTCATCGCTACCGAGCGTGCTCTTGCTCCTACTCACACTAACATGGACCTTCAGGGCAACCTGGGCAAGAAGTTCACTGTCCAGTACCGCTTTTCTTCCCAGCCTGACCGTGCCCGTGAGAAGGCCGGATGGCCTGCTTCTGCCGAGGAGAACATGGCGCGTCTTGCCGATGCTGGTGAGCCCGTCTCTCGCCTCATGCAGAAGTGCAACAACTGCGATGAGCTCGGCCACACCGCCAAGGCTTGTCCCCAGGATCCCAACGAGAAGGTCCGCGTCACTATCACTTGCTACAACTGTGGCGACGAGGGTCACCGCGTCCGCGACTGTAAGTTCATTCGATGTCTTCATCAACCATCCCTGACTGACCAAATTCTTAGGCCCTACCCCTCGTGTCGACAAGTTCGCTTGCAAGAACTGCGGTCAATCTGGCCACAAGGTCTCCGAGTGCACTGAGCCTCGCAGTGCCGAGGGCGTCGAGTGCAACAAGTGCAATGAGAGTATGTTGTTTACCCTTATCACGAGCCAACTTCAACAGCTAATCTTCTATAGTGGGCCACTTCGGCCGTGACTGTCCCACCGCCGGTGGTGGTGGTCGCTCTTGCCACAACTGCGGCCAGGAAGGCCACATCTCCAAGGAGTGCACCGAGCCTCGCAAGCTTAAGTGCCGCAACTGCGATGAGGAGGGCCACCACTCCCGTGACTGCGACAAGCCTCAGGATGGTATGTAAATCTCCTCTCGTGTTTTCGTTACATTGACTGATTTCGTCTCCAACAGTCACCCGCATCAAGTGCATGAACTGCGGCGAGATGGGTCACAAGAAGTTCAAGTGCCCTACCCCCCCTGCCGAGGACGTTGACGGCTTCGGCGATGGCGGTGGTGGAGGTGGTGACTTCGGCGCCTCCAACGACACTGGCGCTGATGCCTGGGGCAGTGGTGACAACACCGCCCCCCAGGACACTGGCGGCTGGTAGATGCTTCCCTTTCGGTACACGCATCCTGATATGGCACGCTTGGTGACCCTCTGATTGACTTTGAGGTCACGTTCTCCGTCGCTGCCTCGGCAGACGACAAGGCTTTCGAGAAAACGGTTGATAGTTCGTCAGAATCATGACACATGGCTGGTGGGGTCTCTTAATAGATAGATCGACACTGATAGAATGCAAAGTCATGAAACAATTCTGGGTTTTGATTGATTTGGCTGTGACTATGACTTGACTGTGGTTCACCATGGGCTTGGACCTTTTCTACGCTGTTCTTGATCGTTGATGATACCACGCCTCGCGCGAACCATCTCAGCACCTGGAGGAGCCTTATTGCAAGATTCCAGTCTTCCCTTACCCATGAAAGTTCAATGCAATGTGTTATTGATGGAACATTCCCCAGCCCGGGCCACTTGAGGATATGTAATATTGAGCGCCAGAGATTGCGCCAGAGACTGCCTTTTGCGCCGTAGTTCCGAATTCCGCAAACGTGGAGTCTCCCTAAGGGGTCGAGATCTTATACGTGGACACTCTGGTGGTTCGTTCAAGGCAAAAGGAACATACTCGGATGTCTTGCTTGTCATTGGGACCGGAAGACAATGATTTAATGCATGCTTCTCGTATATCAGAGGATACATGACGATCTTTTCAGGAGAAGGAGAGGACGCAGATGGACTGATTTCGTTGTAATTTTGAGTTTCGGAGATTTTCATTAGGTGTGCAATACAATTCACGAGTGAACAGCACGTTCATCAAACAGCCGTCACCCCCGATGTCATTAGTTTTGAATGCGGAACGTTGACCCAACAGTGACTTCACAATCCCGTTGATGTCAGCCCCCCAGCCTCCTCTCATGACTATCTCTGGCATACCAAAGTGATACGGAGTCGGTTTTCGTCAACTGTGTAATAGTATTTGGACATGACCTCCTCGTCAGCATAAAAGCAGCACTACACGGACCAGAGATCTTGTCATAGCAAATTACCTGCCGGCAAGTTCTGTGTCATTACAAATCAGTATCAGAAGTCATCTTGGCCGTTTCCGCACGGGACTGATGAGAGTTCGCGAGAATCCCGCAGCCCGGTTCTCGATTGGAGACACAATACCTCTCCAATACTCAAAAGGCAGGGAAGACGGCAGGAAAATAGGATGTGTTTCTGGCCAAAACGTTAAGTCAAGCAGATGGTCCAAAAATTCTTGTCCAGATGACAACAGCTTGTTAGAGCAATGGAGAAGACGAGTCACAATCGTTACTCTTTGGTTATATTGCCTTGGCCAAGGCCCATGAGCTCGTATAAGCCTACTTAATTTATATCAGCCATCTTGAGATTTCTAATGTCATCATCTTGCAGCCGTGAAAACAGCTCTGACGATAGCTGTATAAAGATATCGTGAAGATCATAACCAAGTACTCGGCACACAATGCGAACGCCCACGGCTGTCGATTTTTCCTTCTGTGCGCATAACCTACTCACGAAATTCACCGTTTCGTCCTTAATAGCAACGACCGCAACGTAGATGTCGGAGCGCCAAAACTCTCTCATCCTCCAGCCTCTGCTCTTCCCATCCCTGCCCAGGTATTAGACGAATAGTCATACAGTCAATTGTCATCTTTGAAGTTACGTCGTGTCGTGTACATCGCGACATTGGCCAAGAGTTCACTAGAACTGACGCTCATCAATTCTGAAACGAATCCGATTGGTTCCTTCAAAGGCACATCACTTCGACCCCATTTATATCATGGAAAGCGCCCCCAAGTCATGGCTCTATCATATCCGTCTGGTACGATACTGACATCCCTACCGCCCCGAGAACTTTCCCGGAGATCTCGTTTTCGTATTTAACGATTAGTCGCTCGGTTGTCATGATATTCAAAGCACGTGCCGGAACGTCGCTATCGTCCTGTTCAACGCGAGCATGCCCACCTCCGAGAAAATCACGTTACATGCCTGGCAATAGGAAATAACCATAGCTACCAGATCTTCTGCCTCTTGGAATACCCAAAGTCAACATGCGAGCAAGGGCAGTGATGACCAGCGATGGCAAATCACCAAAACAAAGGCGGCTTAGCACTTCTCGATGTCGAAGATGACATGAGGCTCGGGCACTGGCTGTGTCCCGCATTATCACCTAAACCAAGATGCCTTCAAACCCACCATCCTCTGCGTCCTGAGTGAGACACTTACTCCGGAGAAGGCCTCTTTTATATCAACCTCTTGTCCATTCATATCGCCTCGCAACAAGCATTGAATAGAACTCTACCCCCAGGATTTCTGCTTTAAAATAACCCCGCCCATCTTTCAAATGCAAGTTAGAGTACAAATTGACTTTCACAGACTGAGAATGGTATGAATGCCAGGGAGGCCTCTACCCATCAAGGCCAGAGAGCTGACACCGATCATACGCACCATATGCTAAACACACACATTCACACCTACACATGGTCCTTCTCCATCGTCTCTAATTCCTCCGTATCCCCTTCTCATTCGCTGGAGTATTACCCTTCGACGTTCGACATACCACTTCTCAACAATACACCCCGCAGAAGAATCACCTCCACTTATGTCTGCCATGTCCCTCAAGCGTCGTCCTGGATACCTTGTCATTCGCTGATCGAGCCATCCAAGTCGCCAACGTCAACATCATATAAATAAGTACAGCTAGAACCGCGGTATACCCCAACCATGCTCAGGGTACCTCGCGAAACTACCTCTCGCAAGCGGGAATCACGGCGTGCTCATCATGTCACGCCGTCCATCTACTGGCACTGACTTGCTTCTCACTGGGCGGGGAACATGCACGGCGTTAAAGCACCAAGCAAGAGTCGTATTGCAATCTTGACCGTGCACGGAACCATGGAGCACGACGTAAGTAACTGGGATGGGTTTTATTTGTCTCGCCTGCCTTTGTGGCGCCTCAAAATGTATCCGAACAGGGCTATTCCTCTGTCCGGATCTCGATATCTGTAAAAAGCCATTTTTCCATCCCCATGCCATTATTCAAAAATAGAAAACGATGCAGATAGCCATCTGCAAATCCTTGGTCAAGGTCGCAAAAGAAGAGAAACATGATTCTCGCCCGTCTGGTCGGGCAAGGTGGTATCAAAGCATTGATGCAAAATCAGGCATTCAACGCGAGAGAGTAGTAGACATGGTGCTGAGGGCTGCGGCGTTTGTACCGACAGATCCCATCTGGTAGGAAACATGACCGGGGAAACAGGTGGTTTTCAAACGATAGTTCAACAGGAAAGAGCAGGGGGTACATGGTTTGTTCATAGGCGACGGAGAGATCATGAGGTTCGTTCATGTCGTGGCCCCGCGAGGGCGATGCTTGGGCAACTAGGCCAAGCTCGACTTCTTGCGCCGACCAAACATCTTGGAGAAGCCACCGCCGCTGCTTTGCTGCTCAGCGGGAGGGCTGAAGCGGGCTGGCTGCGCCTGTGGTGGGGGCTCGGCGTTGCGGAGGAATGAAGCCAGGTCGCTGGTGCGGCTCGTGGCAGAGACTGCCTCCCTTGGTTCGAACTTCTTCATTGGCACGCGTCCGGCAGAGGAATGCATGGTGGGCCGGTTTGCAGTGGCGTCACCAGCGCCGTACTTGTCTTGGCCGGAAGACATGTTAACCTGAATCGGAACATGGCCGTTTCCGGCAGCTCCAGCACGGCTATTCAGCGAACGGCTGTCAATCTTGGGTGGCTTCGCAGTCGATCCAGCGTTGCTGTCCTTCCTTGAAAATCGCCCGATAAGGCTGGGAGCGCTGGCCTTTCGCTTGATGTTCTGTGGCATGACAGGAGCGGCGGGCTCAGGTGGTGGCTGATAGTTTTTGAGGAAGTCCGCCAAGCTTTCCTCCTTCTTGGGAGGAGGTCGAACGGCTTGGGCGTAATCTTCCTCGTCTTCGTCGCTCAAGTCAATAGCGTAGGGGTCACGCACGCGTCGTCTGGTGCGCTTCGGCATCATGTCGTCTTCGTCGAAGGTGTTGGCGCTGGGGCGGTTCTTGAGGAGCGCACTTTGCGAGTTGATCGACGATTGGACGGAGGGCATCGTGATGTCCGTCACGTTGGTCGATGCCCGGCTGTACCGAATGTCTGGCAGGCTGGCATCGACAGCTTTACCGCCAACGGCACCTGACATCTGGTCAGAATCCATAGTGGTGCGAAACGGAGCAACAGTGCGTGGAATACGAGGATTGTTAGCGCTGGGAGGTCCTCGCCGAATGAAATCGATGAGGTCGGAATTGTCCTCTCGATTGTCGACGGCAGCGTCGCGTGCCTGAAGGCGGGGTCGGTTGGTCGATGACGAGATGCGTCTCGAGTCAAGGCTGTGCTTCACAGGCGGCGGCGGGCCGCTCATGTTGCGTAGCGGTGCAGGTCCGTTGTCAGCAGTCGGGCCGGTCGACCGAATGAAGTCTGCGAAGTCGTTCATGGACGTATCGCGAGGGATTCGAGCATCTCTAGCCATTGGGCCGTTCGTTCTCGATCTGGTCAATGTGGTGCTTGGAGGTGCTTTGGGAACAAAGCCTTTGGGTTTGGACTCGACAGGATGAGAGTTTAAACCTGTTGCACGACTGACGGACATAGTTCTTCTGATGTCAGCGCCGGAAACGGATCTGTTCCGTTCACCACCCATTGCCGTCCGAGCATCCTCGCTTCGTCTCGACTTAGCACCCACGGCAGGGCTTGCAGTGCGCGCCCGATTGTTCTGATTGGCTGTTAGTAACGTGATTGAAATATAGGAGAGGCTTAAACTCACGTCCATATCACGCATGCTTTCCGGAGTAAGCGTGAATTGAATTGTTTGATCGCTCTGGATGAGTTCCTCGAAATTCCGCGCCAGATTGTCGGCACGACCCGAGGCCTTGCTGTCCTCGGATGTTCGAACCGCTCTAATCTTGCCAGTGCTTGAAGAGCCCGATGAACCAGATGTGCGAAGCTGTCTAGGGCGTTCGGGGGAATCACGCCCAGCAGTTCGCTCCACCGAGACAACACCAATGCTTGCCGCTGGCGAGTGTGTGCCTTGGCGACCGGTGCCGCGGTCGGGAAGAGTTGGCGTGGCCTGGGATCGATTGCGCGGTGAAGGCACGCGCTCCTCCACGAATGGGCCAGTGGTGCTCGTGTTGCTGATGATGGTAACCTTGGTCGCAGATTGGCTGTGTTGGTGACGAGACGGCTGCTGTTTGGCCGGGTTGAAGATTGCCTGTGAAGCCCTAATTTCAGGAGTGCCAGCCTTAGGCGTCGGTGTTGATGCTGGCGACGGAGCAGTTGCAACTGTCCTGGACTTATCCTGGCGTGTAGGACGGGCTTGGGCGTCCTCCTCAGCTTCCAGAATGGACTCGTTCGTGTTTTGCCTGCGAGACAATTTCTCAATAGGAGAACGTGTGCGCGGGGTTGATGCAGACGAGCGGATAATGGTGTCAACCTCTACCGGTTTTGGCTTTCGCTTCTCTTCCACGATGGGTGGCGTGACACGAGAGACACTGCTTGCGCGCGACAGATTGGCTGTTTGAGAGCGATCGGAAGCATCGACCGAAGGCGTGCGCGACCCTCCTACGGGACTCTTGGGACCACGAACGTCAATGACACGAGCTGAAGGCGTTCTCTTGAGCCCCATCATAGGGGCCACAACGACAGCTTTCCCAGACTCGGAGACGCTCGGAGAGCTGCGGCCGGCAACCGACACCCTACTAGAAGTGCAGATCTCTGCCTCCTCTTCCAAATCGTCAATGTCACCAGTCTCATCCTGTGCCGGGGCGGGGTTTGCCTTCACCGCCGTCTGCGTGGCTGCAGGAGTGGCATCTACCGCAGGGATGGCTGCTGCTGCTACTGCAGTCGCTACTGTTGCTGCCGCTGCGACGGAGGCGACATTTTGCGAACTGCGATTAGGGTTCCGGGGTTTGACTTCAGGAATCTGCTCTGGCGTCGGCTCAGGCTTTGCCCTCTCAGACTCCTGGTTCTCCGCACTTGTCTCGGGGACTTTCGCCGCCTGGTCCACGGGTGTGGCTTCCGTCGAAATCTCTTCAGTAGAGATCTCCTTGGTGGCGGAGTCGACAGAATCCTCATCTTCGCCGACCAACTTGGTTGGAATACGTTCGACCTTGGCGCGTTTGAGAACAGGTGAGGTGTAAGGCGAGGGCGAAGGGGTTGGCAGCGAGTTTGAGCGCTTGCGGCCGGAAGGAGCGGTTGGGGTATGAGGTTGAGACATTGTGGGGGTGGGCAGGTCGTTGCTGGGCTGGGACGTAAAGATCATCAGACTTTTCGGGCGCTGCGCCGAAGGCTCCTCCTCCTCGTTGTCGGACGCCTCATCATCGCTGTACGAGGCTAGACCAGGAACTTCGATTTCGTCGATGTCGCGGTCACCAATCGGTAGGGGAATGGCCGATGCCTTGACGAATTCCTCGACGCGGTCGAGTTCAGGTTCCTCTTTCGTCGCTTCTTGGATCCCGAGACCGTTGGCTGGCATGTTCTCGGCCGCGCTGGTTTGCCTAAAGTGGCTGGAAGGCTTGCGCGAAAACGGACGCCCATCCAAAGCTGGAGAGCGTATTCTCTTCTTCCAAGAGCGCCAAAGCCTACCCAGAGTCCTATCGAGAGCAACGCGCTCCATGTCCAACTCCTCAACCACAATCCTGTCAGCGACGTCGGCCATTTTCGCTCCCTCCGTGGGACCCTTCTCGAATTTCGCTCGAAGTCGGTGATACGCCGCCTGGCCTGCAATGACCAGTGCTTGCTCGCCCATGTACTCAAGAATGGAAGTTAGGAAAATGGCGACCGCGGGAGAGATGACCTCCGGGCCACGTTCGTCCGCGCCGGGCTTGAGGTTCTCCTGTTCCATGTAGTAGTCTTCATCCTCCTCTTCCATGTCGCCAAGCGAGGAGTAAACCATGCACCTCAGTCGAGTGCGCTTCCAGACGAGCTCGAGATCCCAGTCCTTGGGGGACGAGCTTGCGCCTGGCGGCTGAACGAAGTCATCCTCGTCTCCACCACCCAGGTATTCGCGCAACTCTTCGTCGGCCTGGTTGATGGCATCTTTGGCGAGTTTCGGCTTGAGAACTTCGGAGACTGCTGGCCTCAAGGCGGAGAGAGTCGTTGCGCGGGAGGCGGACAGAAAGTTGAAGAGTAGCTGGTCGAGAAAGCTGTTGACGAGTTGCAGGGCAGCCGTGGAGACGAGGGCGGTCTCTCCGGCGGGCTCGATTCCATGCTGGTCGTACCAAGTATCGGCATGACTATCGTGATCGTTGGTGACAATCTGAGAAGCGGCCGACGCGGCAATGAAGGCGGGCTCGGGTGTGACGGAGAGGGGAGGAGACATCAGTCCAACGCTCATGACTGTGGAAGGGCGATCGCTCGATATGCTCTGGGTGCGCGACCTCGTCTGGAAGGAGGGCGATGGAAAAGCAGAGGGTGACCTCGACGGGGTGGTCGAGTCAGCGCCTGAGGAAGCCATGTTTGCTGGTGGGTGGGATCTATAAGTTGAGAAAACCAGCACAGCAGGTCTCCCGGGGTCCCGTGAGACCACAGGAGATTAGATTGAGGCGACACAAATATTGGCGATGGGCGTTGTCTCGCAAGCGGGTGTTCCTGGGCCTATCAGGGGTAGCGGCTGAGGCGGTGTTGACGGCAGGTGTTTGCAAATATTACAGAATTGCTTATGTGGGAAGGACGGCTGGGAAGTATGACGGATGGCTGCGTGATGCTAATTGTTAGCGGACTTGTAATTTTTATTAATCCAACAAGCAGCAGCGATTGCAGAGCTGAAACACTTGGTCCAGGGCCGCATGGCAGTGAAGGACCTGCGTGTGATCCACTTGGGGGGGTTGAGGCAGAGATTCATGCGTGGTAACCACGTCTTGCAGAACCAGTGCCACTGCGGGGAGCACTGGGCTGGAGAAGGCAACGGAGAGCGGGCGAATTGGCTGAAAGTAGGCGCAAGAGAGACGATCAACCCGAGGTGATGGTGGACATGTTAGACGAGGCGTGCGCGGGCGCGGCAGGCAGAAAGTCTGGTTGCGGTCCGAGAGACGACAAAAGGCGTGGGATTTGGTTTCGCGAGTACGGGAACCAAACGAACGGGTGACTACGTGTCGAAGCGCAGACACGCGAACATGGGGGGAGGTTGACTTCGGGGACGCAGTACAGTATCCGTCGTATTCAACTTTTTTCCCTTTCGAATCCTCCTTTTCTCTCCTTGCTGACCGGGAGATGGCGGCGAGTCGTGACCGATGGTAGGGCCGGGTGTGGATGATGGGACAACCTGGCAGCAGCAAACACACGTACCTGGATGAGCGCGGTGATGACCGGGAAAGCAGTATTGGTTGTGATGGTATAGTAGACGGAAGAAGATGCGCCGGTGCAAGTTCGGTTGGTGAATCAAGTGGTTGTGATGGCGGTGATACAGAGCAGAAGTGGTAAGACGAACGATGGTTGGGTTGCGGCCAGCGGCGGACACAGGTCGGGAAATGGTTGGAAGGGAAGTAATGGACGACGAGTATGGAGAGAGAGATGGCGATGAAGCTGTGAGATGTTTACGGAGAGAAGGGGAATAAGATGAGAGAGCGAGCGAGCGAGGGCGAAGAAGGACCAGGTAAAGGGTTGTGAAAGAATAATGTCGAGGAAGGCAATGAGCAGCAAATGAGCAAGCAGCTTAGTTAGAGCGTAGGTACGACGAATAGAGCTCTCGAAAGAAGCTGATGCGCTTGCACACGGGCGCAGGAGCCACCAAAGACGACAAAAAAGCCAAAGAAAACGGACGACGAGTGGTCTCGAGGAAGCCCGGCAGCGGCCAGGACGAAACGGGAAGCCTAGTTGCTTAGTGTCAAAGGTATTTTTTGTGCAGCGTCCGTCTTTGAGATGGCGCAGAGTGCGGGATTAGTGCATCTACTTAGTAAAGTGACATAAGGGACCCTCCCAAGCCTGCTCTGTACGAGACACTAGCCCACCAACTCTCCCGCGTTCTGGCTCTGGTTCTGGGAGGAGGATGAGGAGGAAGAGGAGGATGGGCGTGAGTGAGTGGCTCCGTGGTGTGGTCCGTGGAAGGGGTGGTGGGTGGATGGCGATGGGCCAGGATATCCACCATTCAGGTACCAGCCCGGATGTACGTAGTACATGCATGCAGATGGAGCAAAATGTGGCATGCAAAGGTCCAGGGGACAACACACACACACTCTCACACGCACGCAAGAGTTGGAGCAGCAGGTCGGGTCCCGTCATGGCCTTGGGAAACCCGTAAAACCCAGGGACCACCTCGACTTAGGTGAGGTGTGTTGCTTGCATTCGGCCGACGTTTAGGATGGTGGGGCCATGCAGCACGAGAAGGAGACGAAGAAGAAGAAGCAGCAGGAGCAGGAGCAGAAGCAAAGGAAGAAGCTTGGGGACCAGGTACCTCAGACACGCACCTGCGGATAGAGTGTGAGCTGCCCACGGGCAGAAGGTACGCAGTACTACTGACAGCCACAGGTGCAGGCTCAGCTGGTGCACTGTGACCTCGTCACTGGGACTGAGCAAGATTCAAGACAGGAACGGACAGTGGAGGCCATCGGCCCTGGGAGCGCGAATTCCGCGCCCGTCGTCTCCAGCACGGTGGGATGGTTTCGGTGGCTGTCTGCCCATTGCCCACTGTCAACCCCCTGGCAGTGTGGAGGACGGACAGGATGACAAGAGCAACGCTTCCCAGCAGGCAGAAAAATAAAAAGTCGCGACGAAAGAAAATCGCAAACTCAAAGTCGTGAGAGGTTCATAACTGGCAGTATTGAGTTTTGTCGTCATGCAACCACTGCCGCCAGCGTCTCGCAGTACGTCAGTGTTCACTCCTTGGACAGTTGATCCAGAGTTAGCTTCTCAGTTCATTGCCGTTGGGCCTAACGCGACAGACAATCTTCACTATTCACACTATTCGCTCAAGAGCAAATTCACAAACCCCGGGTCCCTGTCATAGCGATCAAGCCCCCCGTGGTGACCCCCTTTTTTGATGTTCCTGGTAGATGAAAGGATGGATCAGCGACCCGTTGACGACGAAACAACGGCTTCCAGACGGGTATCGGAATTCCTGTCTCGAGTTGCTGCCAGTTGCAATGCCCAATCGTCGGTCGGTTGTCGACTGAACACAAATCGCGACTACTCCGAAGCTGGGTTCACCTGTACGGAGGAGACACGGCCACTTTCCAGCCCACCTCACCTTACCTGGCCGAAAGCGAGCAGCATCCAATACTTGTAGGTAGACCAGGTACGTAAATCGAATCGAATCGCATCAGTGCCGTGGCCATGCTGCTCCTGGTCTCCTCGTGGCGGAAAGGGGAAAGAGAATAATATGGGAAAAGTCTCCGACTGCGAAAAGCCGGACGAATCGGCAGAAAGTGACCTCACATCGTCTGGTTCATCATGGGCCAGGATCCAGATGCGAGGTTGCAAACAGAGTGGAGGCTGGTTAATTAGACGTGAAGGGACCCTGACCCTGGACCACGGCCCATGCCTGGCTCTTCCTGGGCATGCGACCTTGCCAGAAGACACCCCTGTCCAGCCTGGTCTGGCAAGTGGTCAAGAGCTTCCACCGACCCTTGCCTGCGACCACCCACGTCTTCCGTCCAGACCGCTGGGGGAGGCGCGGGCGGCGGGAGGCTGCCCAGACTCCTCTAAAGACTCTCCCAGAGAGACCCAGACTTCAAACCCCCAGGGCTCTCTGCCCATATCGACCGCGATGTTCAGGAGATTTTGCGCCGGGGAAGATTCCGACTGTTCAACAAAATCTGGGGCAAATCAATAGTTCAAACCCAGTCTGGTCCGGTCTGGTGCGGTTTCTGGTTCATTAATATTGTCAATCACAAACAATATGATCCGTCTTATAACATCGATGTTGAGCTGGCAGGTGGTATCGGAGGCAGTTACAGAAACAGAGCAACTGCCAAATGGTACGAATAGTGGTACTTTCCACGCTCCAACCAGAAGGAAAGTGCTGGTGGCAGGTGCTGCACTGCACTTGCCTTCCATTGACTTGCAGAGGTCCCCACAGCCACATGCGACGCCTCTTGGCGGAACACAGTACAAACATTTTGCGACGCCCCGCAGATGAAACACTGTGTACTCACCTAGCTCCCGTCGTCATTGAAGCATGGAAGAAGCCTCGAAAGCGCTTTCGGTTTCCACCCCCGCCAAATCGTTTGAACAAAGAGCGGGAAGCCATCGTCGCCAGCTCTCGACGGAAAGCTAAATTTGTCGACCATGAGACGTTGCTTCTTGTCGACATCAAAGGGAAACGGTTAGCCCCCTTCCATGTCTGATCATCAACAGATGCCACAGACACAGTCCGTCGTTTGCCCGTCGAAACGGCACCCGCTGCTTTTCTTTCAACGTCCCGAGACATCAATTCGATTGAAACTCAAGCAACTCGCATGACACAATCACTTGTGCCAGCTGGCCCAGCTTCCGCCTCTCTCCGATATCATGCCACCTCATGAGCTGGTTCGTTTCTTCTTCGTGCCCAAAGAATGCAAAAGGAACAATACGGCCTTGGATTCATCTCCTCTCTAGCCCGCCTCGCCTCCACCCGCCGCTACTCTCATGTCTGGAGAAAAAGAAACAACGCAGCCCATCAGATGCCACAATGCCGACGGCCTCTTTTCGCCCGCAGACGTCCTAGATTGCGTCAGGTCAGTTTTTGCAATATCCGTACATATGCGATTCAGAGTTGGACAGCCCAGCAAACGGGTCGCGCATATTGCGATCATGCTTGCTCAAAGTACCCAGCATCTCAACACACACAGTGCAACCGTCACATCGTCTTGCACTCTGCGACGTCCCATCGTGCTCCTGAGATATGCTCCTGCAGTTTTGGACGAAGCATAAGCATCTCGGTTGGCACGCTGTCCCTCGTCTACCCGTTCCGCGGCCTCAATCAGGAAAACTGAGCCTACTGATCCCAGACTTCGGGACTCAATTCTCAATAAGCCTAACTTCCAAGTCTGCGAATGCCAGTCTTGTCAGGAACAGCCCCGCCGTCCTGCATCTGTCCAAGAGACTTGCCGGAGCAACGAAACGAAACGAGCGGACACAGCCGGTTTGCTGCGCATTCCCGACGGAGACTCGGTCCTCAGACCTCTTCATCAACGCTGAACATCGGTTGAAAGCCAAGACCAAAGCAAGGATGACATCTTCCGAGATTGTCGCATCCGAGGCGACGGTGACCCAATTCCCAGAGCTGTCGCTCCACTTTCCGCCGTCGACGGCCGATAGCACGCCGTGCACACGCCGCGCTCACCCAGACTTTGGTGATGCCAGGCATTCATGGGACGGAACTTACCAAGCATCAGAGTGCCATCAGAGTATCCGCGTCCGAGCACGTTCCCAGCTTTGCGGGGATCGCCAAAACATCACCAGGCTGCGCACCAATATTGATTTCCGTCTGCTGTCAGATTCTCAACCTGCAACGTCGTTCTGTCGCACAGACTGAGAACG